TAGGTTAATATTTCAATAATTTAGCAACATTTTTGCATGTTCTCGGGTCTCTGATGCTGGTTAATCATCATATGATATGCAGGTAAACCATTGAAAATAAAATATTTTCAATAAAATAAATAAAAAAAAATTATTGAAAAAATATATCTATTATTATCTATATATATCTATTATCTATATATAAATATATATATTTCAATGTTTTAATTAGATTTTTTATTTTACAATTATTTCTTTTAATTGTAAATTTTTAATTAATTAAAAAAAATTTAAAAACCTTTTTAAGAAAAAAAAATCTAATTAAAAGATAATTTTAAGTAAAAATCCAAATAAAACACTTATTAAAAATTATTCAGCTATTATTAAACATAAAACATTTTAACTTTCAAAAAAAATCATTAAAAAAAATTAAATGAGTTATTTATTGGCTTTTAATCTTCTGTTGATAGCTAATCTTTCACATTATAACACTATAGATCTTTTACATTTTTTTTGTTTTAATTATCAATGCTTTAATGTAATAAAAGTAATGATATGATTTAGCGAACAATACAAATTCATTAAACAGTATTTTAATAAATTATAATAATATTTTTTAATAAAATATCACACTAGTTGAAATAATAGTTCATTAAATATTAACTAATAATTACATTTAATAATTAAATAATCAAATGATTAAAATAGTTATTCAGACATACTGCTTTCTGGGCATCATCCAAGCATTATCTTATCCTGCGCATGAAATGCTTCATATGCACTAACCCAGAATTCTTGTTAACCTGTTTTGACACTACAGTGAACAAAAACAACAAAACAGCCTCAGAATTCATAACTAAAAAAATACATTCTTTTGTTTTCCTAGCCTTTTTTAATATTTGTTCTGCTTTTGTTTTCTGCCCAGCTTTTGTGTTTGACATCCTGCATCTGCAGTGTGTAAGCAAAGCATATACAGAAAATTAAATGATTTCTGTCTTATACTGAGTATGTTCTTTAATATCAAACAAATTATCATTTTTTTAATTGCCTTATTTATTATTTTTAATGATATTTTATTACAAAAGTTATCGTCATGAAACCTAATTTACATAAGAAAGCATGTTATGCTTGCATGCTAAAATAAATATGCGCTGTTTGCATGCTGCAGACGCGGGGTATGGGAAACAGACCTAATCCGGCAAGGTGCATTATAAAACTTAATCCATAATACTAGTCAGTATTCATAGCAGTACTTACAGGAGAAAAGCAAATATTTCCTTTAATTAATCTGTCATTAGTTTCTCAGTTAAACAGAAATAATACATGCAAATTATGCATATTGTACAGGAAGTGCAACTGCGCTATTCCAATAACCGTTTCTCCCTTTAGATAGTGCTCCAGTGGTTGGCAATCTGTATGTTTCTAATATTACATCAGAGAGCTTCTCCATTTCATGGAATGACACGAGAGGAGATATTGAGAGGTTTATCCTGGAGATTATAGACTCTAGCTGGCAGCGGGAGCCAGTCGAATATAATCTGTCACAAAGCACACAGTCGTATGAAATCACTGGGCTGCGGCCGACTACTGACTATATAGCTTACCTCACTGGAGTCGTGAAGAGAAGGAGAACAGACTCCGTCAGTGCTGTCGCCTCCACAGGTAACTGCAATTCTCTCGTATCCTTGCTGTTTTCCCCCGTTTGTTTATATTGGAAAAGATAAATCAGGCCTTACAGGAGTACAGTAGTTCAACCAAAAGATCACATTTACTCATGTCATTCCAAACCTGTATGTTTTCCCCTTCTTCATATGTTGCAAATCTCTCTAAAATGGGTCCATATAACTCAAGCACTAGAAGTCTTACTGCTGAAGTCATATGATAGCTTTATGTCAGAAACATGCAAAATTGAAGATGTAAATCACTGAAACTTTTACCTTCTGCTTGTGCACATTGAAATCTGGTGCCTCAAGATGTTGCGTCAGGTTCGACTTGTACATGACAGTGACTAAATGAAGTCTATTACTCACAGCTAGCTAACAGAGAATATTCTCATAACGTTCTGGCAAGGCTCTCTTCAAGTAATGTTTATTCAAAGTTATCTGGTCTGTAATAATGTTCTCAAAACATTAGCACAAAAACTATCATATTTATGGATTTGCATCTGTTTTTTCTTGTTTTAGAACATTCAGAAAAATAACATTCCTATAATGCTTGCAAAATAGGAAAATGAATGTTCCCTTAATGTTCACAATACCAAGGGAAATGATTTTAAAGCATTTTGACATTTTTTAAAAACTGGACATTTTGAACATTCAGAGAACACCGAAATAACGTTTTCATACTTCATAATTCTTTTACTTAACTTAATGGAAATTTTTGCGAACATTGATATTTTTGTTAGTAGTGGACATGGAGTATAGTGCACAAGTTGTATGCAGTATTTTTAGTGTTTGTTTTTTTTTTGGTCAAAGTTGAAAACGTTTAACAGTAATGTTCCCATAATTTTTGCAAATTGATAAAATGGAATGTTCCCTTAACATTCGCAATAACAAGAAAAATGTTTAAACATTTAAAACACTGGATGTTTTGAATATTCAGAGAACATCATAACGTTAATAGAAGGTTCATTCAAAGTTATCCGGTTTTTAATAATGTTCTCAAAATGTTAGCACAAAAACTTTATTTATACATTCATGTTTTTAAAAACATTTTCGTTGGATGTTCATCTAATGCTTTTAAATATAACTTGTTTCAGAACGTTCAGAGAACATTCAAAAGTAACATTTTCATAATGCAAAATGAGAAAATGGAATGTTCGCATAACCAAGAAACATTTTTTTTTTTTAAATGAAAAATGGACGTTTTGAATGTTCAGAGAACGTTCTGAAATAACATTTTGGGAACATTAGTAGAACGTTCTTGGAACATATTTTTGTTAGGTGGGGAAAATAGTGCACAAGATGTATGCTCAACTTTCCCAGCTAACAAAAATATGTTCTCACAATGTTTTGTTAACATACCCATTAAGTTATGAAAACATTTACAATGTTCAAAAACATCCAGGCTTTTTTTTTACATTCCATTTTGCAAACATTATGGGAACGTTACCGTTGAATGTTCTCTGATTGTTCTGGAAAAAAAAAATCTATGAATGTTGAATAAATAATTTAGACTTTATTTAATTTAATTGAGTACATTATTAAAGACCAGATAACTTTGAATGAGCACTATTAATGTTATTGGAAGAACGTTCGTTTGAAAGAATCTGGATTAGCCAAAGTTCTGAACGTTCACTGTTAGTTGGGTGACATGAGGTTGAGTGAATGATTTTTGGTTGAACTATCCCTTTAACCAAGGCTGTCTGTCAGTTAGGCACTGAGTTAGCATGGACAGATCTCTAAACGAAAGAGAAAGAGACACTAAACGAATCGTCATGGCTGGCTTTTTCCCCCCTGTAGCGGCCGAGCCTGACTTGTCTGGGCTAGTTGTTTCAAACATTACCTCAGACACAGTGTCGCTCTCCTGGCGGATGGGAGAGAAGGCGTTTGATAATTTTATAGTCGAGGTGAGAGAGTCTGCTTTGCCCACGCAGGCGACGGGGCGCACCTTACCCGGAGGTGTTCGCTCCACGGTGCTGACCGGCCTCAGAGGAGACACGCGGTATCAGATCAAGCTGTACGCCACCTTTGGTGGCACAAACACAGCTGCCCTGACGACTGTAGTAACCACAGGTACAGCAGCGCATGCTTCGAGTTCTCAGATCATCAATTCATAATGAGCTTTTTGTCCAAAAAGCAGCATGCTTTCCTGAGAAAAAGGAGTATTTTTGGTTGTTTGCAAGGTAATGTCTGTGGCATGTTATTGATTAGCATAGGACTAGTGTAAATAGGATTGGATTTGCTTCCCAACCATGTGTTTGCACAAGTTTAGTCTGTTAGTCTTTTGAATAGTAACTAGTTTGTGTGTGTGTGTGTGTGTGTGTGTGTACCTGTTTTTCTATTCTGGTGGGGACTTAAACCTGACTACACACAGACTCATGGGGACTCATGTCATGGTGGGGACCTAAATTGTGGTCCCCACGGGTAAACAAGCTTATATATAATACAGAATGAAGTTTTTTGAAAATCTAAAAATGCACAAAGTTTCCTGTAAGGGGTAGGTTTAGGGGTAGGGTTGGTGTAGGGCAATAGAATATACGGTCTGTACAGTAGAAAAACCATTACGCCTATGGAGAGTCCCCACAAGGATAGCTGACCAGACGTGTGTGTGTGTTTATTGTGTTATGTATAATGTTTTGTGTGCTTTTATCATTTTTACTAGTTTACTAGTTACGTTAATATATATGTGACCCTGGACCACAAAACCAGTCATAAGGGTCAATTAGCATAATCTGAATAAGTGATAATCTGAATAAATAAGCTTTCCATTGATGTATGGTTTGTTAGGATAGGACAATATTTGGCCGAGATACAACTATTTGAAAATATTGTATATATATATATATATATATTCTTTGTTTTTTAATTTGTTATTTTAGTAAAAAAAATCATTTTTAATAGTTAGTTTTAGTTAACAACACTGATTTGACTAAATCTGGTCCATACTGCAAATTTATAAATATAAACTCAAAAGAAAAATGGTTACTTATATTTATTACTCCAATATGGCTTAATTTTTTTTACAATATATATGTATATGTGTGTATGTGTATACAAACACACACACACACACACACACACACATACATGTATATATTTAATTATAATTGAAATTGTTTGCTGTGGCAATTGACTGCAAACCACAGATGCTTTTTATAGACATTAAAGCAAATAACCCAGAATATTCCTGCTGTAAAATTAAGTTTTGATATATTTACAGTAGGAAATGTACAAAATGTCTTCATGGAACATGATCTTTACTTAATATCCTAATGATTTTTGGCATAAAATTCAAATTAAAAATAAAATCGATAATTTTGACCCATACAATGTTTTTTGTGCTATTGCTAAAAATATACCCAAGCGACATAAGACTGCTTTTGTGCTCCAGGATCACATATACAGTATTAAAGTAAAGAATATATATATATATATATATATACTGTAGATATATATATTGTATATATATATATATATATATTCTTTGTTTTTTAATTTGTTATTTTAGTAAAAAAAATCATTTTTAATAGTTAGTTAACACTGATTTGACTAAATCTGGTCCATACTGCAAATTTATAAATATAAACTCAAAAGAAAAATGGTTACTTATATTTATTACTCCAATATGGCTTAATTTTTTTTACAATATATATGTATATGTGTGTATGTGTATACAAACACACACACACACACACACACACACACACACATACATGTATATATTTAATTATAATTGAAATTGTTTGCTGTGGCAATTGACTGCAAACCACAGATGCTTTTTATAGACATTAAAGCAAATAACCCAGAATATTCCTGCTGTATTAAACCTACAGTTTTCACTTGTTTCAGCTGTCGTTAAGTTTCGTAACAATACCCAATACTCTTTTTCATTCATCCAGAGCCGAAGCCTAAATTGGGCCCCATTGTGGTTTCTGAAACACGGCCGAATAGCTTGACGCTGTCCTGGAGCACACTGTCAGGCCACTTCGATGGCTTTGCTGCTCGTGTCACTGACCGTGAGCAGCTCTATGATGTTGTAGAGCTCAGGCTGTCAGGTGCAGAGAGGAACCTTACTGTAACGGGTCTTATGGACTCTACGGTTTATGATATAGGGTTTTATGGTCTGTCTCATGGCCGTCAAACTCCAGCAGTTTCCTTCAATACCAGTACAGGTACTATGCAAGTTTTTCATGCTTCTATCACAACAAATCAGAACTTCGACAGAACTAACAATTTTTGCATCCGGTTAGAACTAGTTGCAAGCAAATTTCTGAAACTGCCTGTGACTATTTATTTATTTATTTGTTTAGCATACTTGCATGTATGTAATAATTTACATGGTTACTTTAATAACTCTATCGGCCTTTTTACACCAAGTGAGATTTTTGGTTTTTTGTGATTTGTAAAAATATAAAACTGGATCCTCTTGTCTGTGTCCAAAACAAAAACAGATTTAATTTGTATATACAATATATATATATATATATATATATATATATATATATATATATATACACACACTCTTTTATTTATTTATTTTTTTTTACTTATTGGTTTGTGATAATTTGTCACGTTGGTCTTGGTGTAAATAGACCTTTAAAAGCTCTTTTTTCCCTTGTGGTTTTGCGTTGTATTCAGTGACCTGAGATTTTAGTTTCAGGCGCTTTCGTAGACAATAGATATATTACAAATGGCTTGTGTTCAGATGCAGTTTCAGTTTGAAACTTAACTTGCTTTGCTTAAGAAAAAGAAAGTAGTATTTGCAGTGTGGAAACTCATGTTTGCATCAGTCTGAGCTCATGTTGTCTAATGACATTAACATTGCACCCACTGAATGCTCTATTATTTTACATGGAGAAACCAAGAATGCAAAGCTCATACAATAGCTTAATACTGACAAACTGATGAGCAACATTTGACATACAACAAGCTATTTTGACCTTGCAATCACTGCAGAATCAATTATACATCCTCACCCTGTATTGTCCCCTCCTATAACATTGCAACCATGGGACCCAAATGAATGCTGTACCACGTAACCCAGCGTCATTACCTAGAGTGGAAAATCTCACGGTTTCGGATATTACCCCGTACGGATTTCGGGTGTCCTGGGCGGCAGACTCCTCTGAAGGCTTCAGGCATTTTCAGGTAAAGGTGTCGGACTCTGGCCAGCTGCTGGAGCCGCAAGAGTTCGTAGTGCCGGGGAACCAGACCGTACTGGATGTTTTGGGCCTGATCACTGGCATTGGCTATGAGGTCAGTGTGACCGGGGTGTCAGGGAATGGGTTACAGTCTCGTCCAATCACCACAGTGGCTGTTACAGGTACCGCTCTCTGCTTTTTTTGTTTTTCAACTGCACGTCACTCCTTCACATTAAACGTTTCACTGCCCAAGCTTGATAGTTTTTAGTTTTTGTTGAAGAGATAAATGTTTTAGTATGTAACAAATATTTTACTGCTATTGCAATTTTTCAGGGGTTGTATGCACAAGACATGTTCAAGAGTGTGATGGTTTCTTTCTCACAACGCCATGACAAAAACCTGACGAATTGTACAGTTTCTACAGTAAACACTCAATATGCTCAAGATACTTTTCTTGCCCCAGCTGCTGCTTCTGATTGGTCACCTTTTTTAAAATCACAGTTTTATTCGCTGCAAATGAAATCTTTTAAATGTTGTTTAAACAGTACTGATGGAAACAGTGACATTTTGTGGTCCATTTATGTTTCCTTAGTCATTTTTCAGAAGTTTATATTTGGACACAAATTTTGCTGTTGTCAATGTTTTTTCTGCACAACAATCAACATTCACTGCACAAAAGATACTACATAATGCATTTTTTTTTTAATCTTCTTTTTTTTAATCCTCTTTTTTTTCAAATGGTTTTCCAGAAAAATCAGTGTCAAAAATCAGGAATCAATATGCATCTTTAAAAAAAACAATAAAGGAGAGAGAGAGAGAGATACTCCTTAATGAATTATTCATTGTTTTTTTTTTTTGTT